GGAAGTTTTGAAACTTTGCAGGTTTATAGGTTTTGGGGTCCCTAACCTTTTTTATAGGAAATTTTATTCTCTTTAATTTTGTTCTCCTCAAATTTTCGCGAAAAACGCATAGTTTTCGAGATATTCACAAAATACCGATTATGGGCGCCATCTTGGTAAGATGACGGCGCCGGCGGCAAGTCTGGAAATGTGCATTTTATGGATTTTAGTTAGGGACCCCAAAACCTATAAACCTGCAAAGTTGCAAAACTTCCGGCCTTTTTTCCAAGCAAAAATTCCCAATGACTGAACTAGTTCGACACTGAAAGAGTAATCTAAAAACTAGGCATGTTTGGATGATTAAAAAACATAAAACAGTTGTCAATACAATTACGGGCGCCACATCGTGTACCGATCACTGAATAATTTGCTCGCCTTCTTTCTGTTTCGAATGAATTTTGGATAGGAAAATATGATTTATATCAGTTACGTTTTACCAGAGTAGAATCGCAGTTAGCTGTCTTTTTAACTTCAAGGGACTAAAATTTATGCTATGCAATTTCAGAAGGAAATAGTTCGTCTGCAGTCTTCGACGTAGAAACCTTAAATGTTAAGTAGATCCAAGCACACACAGTAAAAAATAAGATAAGTATCTTGAAAAAAGGTTGGATATTTCGTCACTGAAATGGCAATCTATTGAGAAAATATTCTTTTTTAGGGTTCCATACCACAAAAGATAAAAAACGGAACCCTTTTAGGATCACTTTGTTTTCTGTCCGTCTGTCTGTCAAGACCCTTTATTTCTTCAGATCCTCAGATTTCTTCAGATCCAAGCACACACAGTAAAAAATAATATAAGTATCTTGAAAAAAGGTTGGATATTTCGTCACTGAAATGGCAATCTATTGAGAAAATATTCTTTTTTAGGGTTCCATACCACAAAAGATAAAAAACGGAACCCTTTTAGGATCACTTTGTTTTCTGTCCGTCTGTCTGTCAAGACCCTTTATTTCTTGAACACGTGGAGATATTGAATTGAAATTAAAACCATTTCCTCAGGTCTACAGACTGTTAAAGCTGTGAAAAATTCGAATTTCTAAGTTAACGTAAAAAAGAGACGGCCGTTTATGCCGCAAAAAAATGACACTCACAATCTCAACACTCTCAAGGGAATCGAAATTTATGGGGCATTTTCCGTTGGCGTACTCGTCGAGCTGTGAAATTTGGCAAATAATACCGTCTTATACAACAAGTATGGGAAAATCTGAAAAATATACATTTGTAATTAAATCATAAAAAATATACAGTTTGCCCCGGATTGTCTTTACAAGAGGAAAAACTGTTTTATTATTGACATTTTGAGAAAAATGCATTCTTTATCAAAAAAATTATAAAAGTTTTTTAGGTTGATTTAATGGGTAATCCCGTTTAATAGTTTTCCAAATTTTCATACCGTTTTAGAGAAAATTAAAAAAAAACATGGAAATATAATTTAATTTTTTCAAAAGTCCTCAAAATCAAAACGCGTTTCGATGGTAATATAATTTAGTTTTTATTTTTGATAGATTGTTATTGATAAAATTTTAATTAATGTCATACATTTTGCTGTTTTAAAATGTTACAGAAGCACAAAATTTATTTAGTACAATGCTACGGAAATGGTGATAATAGTTATCGGAAACTTTAACAAGAGCAATAAACGTTAATTAAAATTAATAGTACCCAACTATTAGAGAATGAAATCGAAATTATATTGCCATAGAAGCGCCTTTTTGAATTTTATGACTTTTAGGAAGAAATTCAACCAATATTTATGTTTTGTTTATTTTCTCTAAAACGGTATGGAAATTTAAAAAACATAAACGGAATAAACCATTTTAGAACGAGAAATATTTTATAAAGAATGTATTTTTTTTAAAATGACAACAATAAAAAAGTTTCCTCTTGTAAAGACAATCCGGGAACACACTGTAGTATTTATTCAAAGTCTATTTATAATATGTACGTATAGTTCATATCAAATAAACTTTTAGTCACGTGATTAAGCTTGGCCGGCATAGTGTTGCCCACTTTTACATATTTTCGTTTAATCAAAATATTTTAGGAAACAAAAATAAATTAATTATAAATATTATAAATATATAAACAGTTATTACATACATTAACAAATCTCACCTTTTTAACAGCACTAGGGACATGAAGAGCCATTACTACCGTTTTTCCGTTCATAATATTCTAAGAAAGTTGCGATGTGTTTTTATGGCTATTAAGCTATCTTGTACACTTCGCACTAAAAGAAGTTCTAAAAAGAACAATGTTCGACTGCAAATTCTGCTAGTAAAATATTTTAAGCTTAAAGTCATCATCATCATTTAGATTATTCCGTCCACTGCTAAACACAAGTCTCCCTTAACTCTAGCCATTTCTTTCTATTTTGTGCCACTTGAATCCAGTTTCCAGCCACTCTCTTAATATCATCTGTCCATCGACTAGGAGGTCGTCTCCTGCTTCTATAGGCCTCGTGTCTTGGTCTCTATTCCACAAGTAGATCACCTTGGTCACCATTATACAGGGTGCTACAAATTCGAGGTACGAGCATTGGTATCTCGGTAACCGTAATAGATACGAACATAGTTAAATTGGGGCAAGTTGCGCTTTGGGACGTTCACCAAGATGCCATCAAAAAAGTTTTAAAAATTTCAAAGATTGCTGAGCTTTTTGGAAAAAACGGATTTTTTTGAAAATTAATTTTATTTTTTCATGTCGTTACTTTTATGAAAATCAAAAAACTAATTACACATTCTCATAGCCACTTTATTAGGGCTATCTGGTAGTATTTTTAGATTTTCAAATTAGCTGATAATTTGTGAGATACAGAAGCCAACTTAATTTTTTTAAATACGGACCTGCATTTTTTATTTCCGGTTTTGAAAGATCTCGGTCTCCTGAGTACAATGATATGCCAGATTTTATACTCTTTTTTGTTTTGGGTACCTTAACAACAACAAACTATTTAATTATTATGTAAAATAATTTCAAGTCCGACTCTGGTTTTTTAAATTATTTAATCGGATTATATTCATCGCAACAATATTGATCAGCGCTAATTAACATTCAATAAGGAAAATCGAGCCAATTACCATAAATTATATCCAGGTCAGCAATTTAAAGATATTATTTTTAATTCTTTTTATTGTGAATAATAATATGCGTAATATTCATCGTAGTTATTATAAATAAATCAACTTCTAAAGACTAGTTTCTAATGTTCTACATGTTTGAAAGGGTTACCACCCTTCCTACTGCACAAATTTATTTTTTGTTCAATTTTATTTATAGCTCTTTGAAGTTTCTTCTTATACTTCCGAAAGCATTTTGTACTCTTTATTGTAAATATTGAGATTTATTGGTTTCACTTTTACAAATGACGTGAAGTAATGTATTCATTTTGTATATTATTTTTTATTATTTTATCTACAACCGTTTAGTTATAACGTTTTTACAACACTATTTTTTTAGTATTTCAGTTACGTTATGAGATTCATAACACAACTAGCGGTGTTATGAATCTATAACACAACTAGTTGCTATAATAATGAGAAACATCTACGAACATCTAAATATATTAACTTTTCCGGCAATAATGATTCCGTGGCACATACTGCGGCAAGTTCTACATCTGAAGGGAGACTGCCGGAATCGCTCATCGTAATTTTTAAAATGATTTTTCTGGGAAAAAAGTGCTCGCGTTTACTTGACAGGACAAACTGACGTTTCAGCATAAATGTGACAAATGTCATAGTTAAAGATGTCAGGTCTTAGGTGTTAAATCGCCCACCTTGGGCGACTAATAAACGAAAATTAAAACAGCATTTTCTTATTTTTCGGTTGTAGATAAAACGTTGTACATGACACGTGCGTTTAAACATGATTACAACACTCGTGTGATTAGAACGACTCGGTCTACGACCTCGTCGTTCTAATCGTTCACGCTCGTTGTTGTAATCATGTTCATAAACACACTTGTACTGTAAATAACTATTATTGCATTTGATTTTCCGTATTCAGTGTTTTATCCCACGTCATTGTTAAGTTTGAAAGGTTATCAATATTGTAACGATGAATAGATTAAATATTTAAAAAAAACAGAGCCGGACTTGAAATTAGTTTAAATAACTTCTGTTCAAATATCCGAGACAAAAAAAATATATTAAGTGTGGCATATAATTGTACTCAGGAAACCGAGTTCTTTCAAAATCTGAAATAAAAAATGTAGGTCCGTATTTAAAAAAATTAAGTTGGTCTCTGTATCTCACAAATTATCAGCTAATTTGAAAATTTAAAAATACTATCAGATAGCCCTAATAAAGTAGCTATGAAAATGTGCAATTAGTTTTTTATTTTCTAAAAGTAACGACAGGAAAAAATAAAATTAATTTTCAAAAAAATCCGTTTTTTCCAAAAAACTCAGCAATCGTTGAAATTTTTAAAACTTTTTTGATGGCATCTTTGTGAACATCCCAAAGCGCCACTTTGCCTCAATTTAACCATGTTCGTATCTCTTACGGTTTCCGAGATACCAATGCTCGTACCTCGAATTTGTACCACCCTGTATATGCTTAAAGTATCAGAACACAATTCATTTAAACCATAAACTCGTAATACAAAAATTAAAGTGTCAAAACGAATGACAGGAAATAAATAAATGTGGCAACTTGACATTTTTTATAGCAGGGCAAACCACCTCTGAAACCTCAGCGGGAAATTTAAATCCCAGTTAGATAGCCCTGCGCCGAATATGTCTATGGTTAGCAACAATGAATTTAAAAATCGTGCCCTCGATTATGTAACTAAAAGTTTAATTGGTATCGAATATACAAATTTGTACGGAACCCTCGGTGAGCGACTCCGACTCGCACTTGTCCAGTTTTTGTGTTCATGTGTATAAAGTTTATTGTGTTTTATAGTAGAGTAGAATAAATTTAGTATTTTTTATTTAAAAAAGTATTTTTTTATTACAGAATGTATCGGTAACTGTGTCTATTTTGACATTGACCTTCATATCGATCGACAGGTGGTACGCAATATGCTTCCCTTTGAAATTCAAATCGACGACTGGCAGGGCTAAAACAGCCATCTGTGTCATATGGATCACTACCCTCGCTTGCGGTAAGTACATTTTGTAATATTTTTTTATATATCTTTCGTCAATACGTATTAAATATTCACTCTACTGGATGTTTTTCAAAAGTGGCTCCCCTCTACAACTTTTTTGTTCTTTCAGATAAAAAAAGAAATTTGACATTTAACCGAGTATATGACATACTTAAATGGTGATAGATCGATGTATTCAGCTAATTTCGGTCACTTTCTGTTTTACCGAAAATGACTAACACTTTTGATTTTTAAATGGTGGATACTAGTCTAAGAGCTAGCAACGTTTTCGAGAAAGTATTTTAAGACGTCTGGCTCTTTGATATATCTTTTACTATGCACTCTGGAACAGCATGCGGTCCGTCTGGCTGCCGATACCCGTTCCGTTCACTACTACGCATCGGGAGAAGTTCCTATATATTTTTTTTAATTTAGTCTTGTAAATTCTATTATTGAATATAAATCGAACATGTAGCATTGCGTAGAGTTTCCGACTACGAACCAAGGATATAGAGTTCGAATCCGGGTCAGGGCAAGGCCTTTTTTATTTTATTTTCGTTTATATTCTGATAGTAAAGTATTATATAATTCTGGTGGTTAAAAAAAACAAATATTTAATACTTTACATAATACACATATTTAATACTAATAATAATAATAATAATAGCTCCCGTATATAGCGTTTAACGCCTTGGGAGTAGCAAGGTACTGTAGGGTTTTTTAAAACAACTACCACTGCGAACGGCAGCTTTTCATCGGAGAGCAGTCGTGGATAAGGTATTTCACTAGAGAGAAAATTAATCAATAATAATAAACAAAAGATATCTAGATATTGGGCGCCAGGCATGTACAGAGAAAGAAAACACAATTGTATAATACTTAAAACTAATGACTATATTTATTCGTGACGAATTCTGATGGTGAATAGCATTGTACAATTTTAATAATTATTATAGTGGTTACCTGTTGAATAAAACTATATATGTAAATAATATTAAATACGTTCTATGTAAAGACTATAAGGAAAATACAATGCGTGTAACATTAGAGAAAATATAAGAAAAGTAGCATTACTTTATTTAAATTGTTAAATTTATACGGTGTTCAATCAGATGTGTTGCAACCTGTAGATTCTAGAATCTATCTCGTCATTCATCTATTAGTATAGCGTAATAATGATGTCTATAGAAAGTAATACCATTACAATGCGTGATATTATGAAATCTAAAATCTAAATCACACTTTTACTACTGCATTGACATAAATATTCTTAATAATCTAACCACTAAATATAGTCTGTACGCTATAGTTTAAATGTACGTTACTGTTTAAGACTGAAAACATTTTAGGTGTTAAATGCAATACTAGAACTTAAAATTACACTTAGCTGTTCTTTAATGTAACCCTGCTTCAACCAGTAGCAGCGCGAGGAGGTCTTGCATCTCTGCACTGTCTGTCGGCGATCCAGGCTTAGAAATGGGGGTGAAGCAGCACGGGGCTCAAGCCACACCCACGCTGGGGCACTCTATGTGAAGACAAATCAATCCTACTGGGGACACTTGTCCATGGGACATCCGTCCATAAGATAGTGGCACAAGAGAACACTACTAGGACCTTGAAAAATAGTCCACACCTTGGACACTTGTCCGTAAGACAATGTCCGTCCGTAAGACCCTAAGAACACGAAACTCTTGTTTAAAATCAAACACCGTCTAATAAACAAAATGAACCTACCTCAAAATACTTCCGAGGGCTCAAGAAATAATAAACAATCTGTCCTTTCTTCCAAATGACATTCCGGAGGACAAAAGCAAAGGGACGCCAACGTGCCAGCCAAATACAAATACAAGTTGGGACATCCGTAACTTTACCCTAAAAATATTCAATAATAATATCGAATCTAAAAGGATAATATCTCATCTTTACCTGTTGCTTCGAAATAGCAGCTGATTCAGATTATACAGCAAGATTTAAATAATCACCATTTCTAAAAGCTGGGATAAAGCAGAGCGTCAAAACAAAGTGAGGTTAAGCCCGGAGAGTTGACAGAAGCGATGTTGACAGCGCGCGCCTCGACAGAATAGTAACAGGGTTGTGTCGAACGATAACAGGGTTGGCGACTAGGGAACGTAAAAATTACGCGTCAAATAAACTATCCGGCCTGAACGATAAGGAATCCGGTGATGATAGGCCAGACATCATATATTATATATAAAAAAGACATGTAACGAACTAAAAACGTTACACTGCCCTCCTCCGAAAAGAAAAGAAATGGACCTGTAAGGTACACTTTCTTTTTCACAAATCTGGAGATGGTAAAAAAAAATCAAAAGAAAACTACATCGTAAATTTCAGAATAGACGAAACCCATTTGAAAATTGATCAGGTTCTCAAAAAGGAAGCGGTAAACCAAAATAAAAACGAAAAGTACCAGTAAAGAATATATGATGCAGGAGATCATAAAAACTAAAGGTGTAAAATTACTAAAGTTGCTGGTCACTGGACACGCCGTAAAGTACAGAGATACTCGAGCCATTGTTCTGCTAAAATCAAATAATACGGAGGTACATACAAACATAGCAGTATACAAATACTGCTATAGTTAGGTGTTATAAAACGATATAGGTGTAAATTATCGATAACTCAGGCTAGACAAGTGACTCCAAAATACGCTATGTTCTAAAACAACGCGACTCAACAATAATTAAAGAGAACGTCGATCCATTCATGGTATCGATACGTCTCGGTTTATAACCTTGGTGATAGTTTCTGAAACCAACATTCTAGTTCATGTCAGATCAACTACGCCAGAGAAGGAACACTACAATACTAGAGCAGATAGAGGTATATAACGGCCGGTACCCTAAAACAAAAAAAAAACCAAACAAATTTACTGTACCAGTACAAACCCTCTCTCAGACGGAATGAACAATATTAACAACGCCAGACAAGGCATTATATGGAACTAGAGCAGTTAAAGGTTGACGACGGTCGGTACTACAAGACCAAGACAACCAGACAAATATACTGTTCCAGTTCAAACCTTCTCTCAAACGGAATGTATCATACTAACAACGTCAGACAAGGAATTACAGACTAGAGCAACAGAGGCTGAAGAAGGCTAACCGAGCCTAAACACCTCAACAAAATTTGCACTAGCTCAACCCTTCTCTCCAACGCAGTGACTGGAACCAACAACAACAAAAACCAGAGATAATCACCAAGAGACAGAACTGTAAAGAAAGATAAAAATGAAATGAATATGAAAAAATACCCTACATCTGTCAGCATGAGGGGATGCACTGTAGTGTACATCAAATAAAATGGGATAAATAGAGCATATCTATAACGATACTCCAAAATGACTCTACATAAAAAAATACAACTAAAAACCTTCTGAGCCTTAGCTCAGAGAGAAAAAAAACAAAATACGCATCGCCTAGGGTAGTAGACGGAAGGTCAACGCCCTGTCAAGCAAATGCGACGGAACCCTAACAGGTATCTCGAATCAAAATCAAAATAATAATCAAATCAATTTAATAAAATGAATAAATATAAGTTTTACTTACCGAAGTAAAACCTATTAAATAGGTATTACGATAAAGTAATACTATACAGGTAATACCACATACGTAATACTATTCACGTAGTACCACATACGTAACATCACCCATACAACACCACACACGCAATACCATATACGTAGTATGTGGATAAGGTGTTCGGAAATAATTTCCGACACTCTCGATGTTTTGAGACTTACCACATACTACGGTGGCATTTGACGGGCTCTTACCGTCACGAGGAACCCGTACATGGCTATTCTTTACTGTTGAGTATGCAACTAACCAGTAGCACACTCAACTCGCCCACCATGTAGAGCGGATACACGTGCCCCAAGGCCACAAACCATGATCATAGGCTAGATAATAGCCATAGATCGAAACAAAATAAAAAAACGAATGACAATATGACAATCAAACAAACTCAAAGACTTACAGAAAACTGTAAAGTCAAAAATCACAAAAATGTCAAACGCGACACTGCTCAAAGCCAGACTCAAAAAAATCACAATTGCTAAACGCAAGTAAACTGTAGGGCTAAATAAAACTAACGAGCTAAACCAAACTATACATAAGGGACTAAAATGATGAAATCGTCTCCATGATAACTCATCGGGCAAAACCAAACTAACAACTATCTCACTGACAGTTATTCTAAACCAAAAAAGTGGTGTAATTGCTCGCGAAACAATACACCTGGACTAAAAACCAGAAAAAGCTAACAAAACAGAGCAATCATCATCTCGCTATGCACGCCGCTAAAAAACTCAATGCATCTGCACATTCCATACAGACACTGCCAAAATTCACTAAAAAAAACTAAAAATGATATAGATGTCACCAAGACAAAAATATCTCACAATACAAAAAGATCTAAACCTGACACAAGTGTCATCAAAAAAAATCTCTCCAAATAAACAGAGAAAACTAGAACTCCAACTGAACTCAAACTATTGACGCGTTTTGACACAGATATAGTTCTTCGGAAACATTGCATTGGCTATCAGATCTAGTAAAAACTATTAAAACCAGGCAACAGAATCCGAAAACAGAGATGTCAAACGTCAATCCTCCATAAACTTGAGTCACAAGCGCTAAATCGCTCAAATAACTCAAAAACTCATCATATTAAACGATGACAACACGTTAATGATCTTGGACGTCTCCATAAAAAAATCATTAACAACCAAAATGTTCACAGTAGCATCCTGCTAACTGTAAACCATAAATACGACAAATGCTCACCGCATATGTCGTCTGCAACACTGCAAAAAAATCTAATGTCCTCCTGACATTAAATCTCTAAACGGTAAATGTCTGTATGAAAAGTTATTCGGCAACTATCATAACAGAATAAGTACCAAACATTCCTTTGACACGTACATAGACAGCTGCCAAAAGAAAACAAAACGATACCTCACGTATCAAATATGACAAGTCCCCTCGTCATAC